TAACACACGATTCTCTCATCGTCTCCTCATCCTAAAGGTGGTGGCCCTTCAGACCGGGCTTGTTGAATCGAGTCCTCGTCAGGGTTTAGAGTTGAAGACTCTTGCAGAAGAAAAGAAGAAAGAGGCCCATCATTACAAGAAAAAAATAGCTTCCTTGAAGAAATCTCTCGAGGCGTCGGAAGCGCGAGCAGGAGACAGAGAATGACAATTTGCGGTTTGCGTTGGCTCGTGCTCCGGAGGAGGCGGTTGAGAGGTATAAGGCCTCTGTCGAGCATACTAAGGACTTAGAGGCATCTGGGGAGCAGTACAAGTCATCGTCTGATTATGCCAGGGCCTTGCATTCGTACAGGGGAAAGGCGATGGCGGCATCTATCAAACTAACCAAGGAGTGGATATCGATCGAGCACCCTTCTATCGACCCCTCAGATTTTGATAAGTTCCTTGTGTAGCGTAAGAGGAAGGAGAGTAGGGCACAGCCATCTAGGTCACCTAAGGGGTCAATAAAAGGGTGCTCAATCGATATCCACTCCTTGGTTAGTTTGATAGATGCCGCCATCGCCTTCCCCGTACGAATGCAAGGCCCTGGCATAATCAAACAATGACTTGTACTACTTCCCAGATGCCTCTAAGTCCTTAGTATGCTCGACAGAGGCCTTATACCTCTCAACCGCCTCCTCTGGAGCATGAGTTAACCCAGACCGCAAATTGTCATTCTCTGTCTCCTGCTCGCGGGCTCAAGCTTCCGACGCCTCTAGAGATTTCTTCAAGGAAGCTATTTTTTTCTTGTAATGATGGGTCTCTTTCTTCTTTTCTTCTACAAGAGTCTTCAAGTTTAAGCCCCGACGACGACTCGATTCAGCAAGCCCGATCTGAAGGGCCACTACCTAAAGAATGAGGAGACGATGAGAGAGTCGTGTGGTAAAATCATGCTAAAAAGATAAGACTCGGCGTAAAAGAAAAATGGAATTAGAAGCATACCCTCTGGAGATAGACCGTCGCAGCCCTCTCGATGTCGTCTGCGCTACGTCCTGCAATCACCTTGGCCCGAGCGGGTGTCACCAAAGACTTAAGCACCCCATCTCATGATAATCTCGGGTGGGAGGAAACCCGAAATTAGGAAGTGAATCCTCATGCTCCCCCCGCATACGGCTGGAAGAACCCGGCCTAGGAACAGAAGCAACTTTGATAGGCTCGTCTGAGGGCTGGGGAGTCTCTTTTGCCACCTGAGACCTTCCCCCTTGGTCAGCATTCTTCTTCCTCTTTAAGGGGACGAGGGGTGGCTCAATATCACTTCTATGCCCTTGTTCAGGCATAGAATTCATGGTCCCTCTAGGTCAAATTCCATCCCTATACATGCAAGGTAAGACCCGTCAAGCTTGCAAAACAAAAGAGTGTGAAAACACGAAACAAGGAACGGAGGCTCAAGAGTTTACCGTCAATAGGAGCGAGGCCCTCGTCACTTCCTGGCAGGGTCTTCAATACCTCGTCTAGATCGAAGTCCATATCTGTATGCACATACCCAAACTGATTAGTCCTGAAAAACAACAAATAAGAAATATGTGCAAGTAAAAAATAATAGAAACCAGTGGAAGCAACCTACCAGTACGACGACTCATCCCCACTATCAACATGTTCCTCATGCTCAGGATCGATCCTAAGTCAGGTGCGAGAGGGGTATATCAACCAACTGTTGGATTTGAACTTTTAGAGTAGAGGAAGCTTTTACTTGACTATTGAAAAGACAAATTTGGGGATGCCGCCAATTGGTATTGAAAGAAAACCGACGTACTGAAGGCCGGGCGAAAAAGAACCGAGATTTCCACCCGCTATTCGAATTCCTAAACCTAGGAAATAGCAAAGGGACCCTAGTGATAAAAAAGACAAAACACATTGCACTAAACTAGTTCATGCATCTCAAAGACACACATAAAAAGGTCTATGGAAAGTGGAATTCTCCTCCTAAGGCAGACATATAAGAAGTACAATGCTTTTCTCCAAGCGTTGGGTTTATTTGACTAGGAGTAAGGTGAAACTCGTTGAAAATCGACATAAAGAAGGGATGAATGGGTAGTCGGAAACCGCCATCCATGATGTCTTTATATACCGCTATCTCGCGAGAGTCAGATCCGAGGAGCCTCTCTTTGGGACTTAGGGCTCTATAGACATAGTCATCGACTCGGTCATACTTGGCAAGACATTTCTTTAACTTAAGCGGGGAATTGTAAAGGCTATAACCTCTTGGAATCTCGAGAGGGACAATCTCAACGGCCGAATCCCGCGCAATTTCTAAATTTTTATTGGGAAGCTTAGTAGAGCCAATATGCCTCTTGGGAGAATTAGAAACAAACATTTGAAGTTCGGTTGAAGAATTCCCGTTATTGGAATAAAAAATGGATCTATCGGACCCAGGGGAGGATTCACTAGGCAGCCTATCCAAGGAGTCAAAAGAACGATCGGCTCGGGGGAGGCTGAAGGTCAGCCAGCCCGAGGGTAGGTCGACCCTTGACCAGCTTTGCTGGTCGCTGATCGGATGATCGGCCCATCGTGGGGATCGACCGACCCTTCCGACGAAGGTTCGATCGACCCATTACACTTCACGTCGCTACTCTCGTTGGAGGAAGAGGTTATGATAGTCTTATACGAAAAGGAAAAAAAAAAAAAGAGAGAGAGAGAGAGAGAGAGAGAGAGAAGAGGGGAAATGCAAAAATTCTAAGTAAAAATCTTGGAATGAAAGAGGAAAATGTTACATTGAGGAGGAGAAAATCTAGGATGTTGAGGATGAGTGAAAATGATTCCAAATAGGAGACCACCCCTTTTTTATTGGCAAAAGAGATTCAAAATTTTTGGGGGAAAAATACCATCCAAAATTATGCCCATCGGTTAGAAGCCAAATGTACAATGAAACAGCTGCCCAAATTAAATTGTATTACTCAACTTGCTTATTCAAACTAATTTTATTTAAAAAATAATAATAATAATAAAAATCCAGATAAAGGAAATTGCTACCCCTCTGTCGAAAAAATATTGACGAGGGATAGGAGGCTAATGATATCAGTTAACATAGGAAACCGCCTCCGATGATAAGCAAGCTAAACCACTGCACGCCGATGCAAAGCTGTCGATCCCCCGGGACGTTCTACCTCCACACGAGACTACCTACCCCCGGGTGCTCTCGTGTGGAGGTAGAACGTCCCGAGGGGTCGATGGCTTCACATTGGCGTGCAGTGGTTTACCTTGCTTATCATCGGAGGCGGTTTCCTATGTTAACTGATATCAGAAATAAACCAACATCAAGGGATAACTCAAATGGTTCTAGAACGTGATGTATGCCGATTATTACGTCCAGACAAAAAAATTGAAAAATCGACTAAACCAATCAAACCGACAAAATAAATTAATAATCGGTGATTATGGATGTCAACTAGGTGGCCGACCAATCTTTTTCGCTATAAATCATATATGCCCAATGTAAGTTATGCAACTTGAAACCAAAATTACACCGTAGAAGTTCCCCATGATTGAAGCATAAGTGTAATGTCAAGTTCTTTAGAAGTACATTGCTCAGCCTCCAGAATTTTTGGTTCATTTGGGGATTTATGATTCAGATTTGTGGATGATTGCTCATGCAACGCAGCCACTATCTCAAATACTTTTTCTTTAGATTATGGCTTTAATCTGTAACAGATTCACCACTCTCTTGGATCTTTATAACCAGGTAACTTGCCAGTCATTACCCCAAGGCCAATAATCAAAACATAAAACTCTTCAGGCTGAATCTTGTCTCATGATAAACTCCGAACATCTTTACATATCTGACCAAAACTAGGCTTCTAACCTCTTCAAACGTCATCCTAGCAAAGATACTATCCACCATTTTGTCAAACATGCCGCAGTCTTCCTTCAATTTATTGTCTTTCAATGGGTACAGAGAGACACTACATGTACAGAAAATGATATTCCGACTACTCACAGCACCTGGGGTGGGTGGTTTAATTTTTGAATATAAAACTCACATGGGCTCCATGTGAGATTTCTGGTTTTGTTCGAAAAAATTCTGTACATACAGAATTTTTTCTTGCACAAATGAAGTCCTCAAGTTTTTCTCACGCCTTTCATTCTTCTTCATCAGAGTCTTAGTCTGTATTGTTGATCAAATTGTTAAACTTGTTCCACTAGAGGTATTTTCCCAAATAAATCTCCATTAACAGAAGGCCCACAACCTATTACTCCAGTTCCCATGATCTCTTATTTCTCAACATCTGCTTCTCCCTCGATTGTTTTTCGAAGTCCTCTTTGCCAATAACTTATTAACTTTCTCCAGTTTCTTTGGATTAATCTCAACCCCCAAGCGAATTGAGATACAAGTAATCTACCATCAGTCCCTTATTTTTTCTCCTTTCCACAAGGAGATAGCCAATGAAGTACAAAGCAAATTAGTCAGTTTAAATTCGCAAAGAAATATACAAATCACCATCATTTACTTCCTTTCTCACTTTGCAGTGAACAAAGTAAATGGAGTGGGGAGCTAAATGGAATTTAAGATTAAATAATAATATTATATGAAGCTCTTGAAACATTCAACCTTCTTGATCACCCATCAAATCCAGTTCGAATATTATTATGAAAATGATCCAGCTAAAAGACTGAAAAGCTAGTATCTTTAAACCCTTAAGACACTTGAACACAAGATCTACAGTTCTCTACAAATTCTAAGAAGCAATTTGGCCTTCCTAGTATCCTCACATAGAATCCAAACTCACATGTAGCCAATTCACTCGCACTAGACCTGCTTCCTCGTGGATCCTTCTCCTTTTTTCTTCTTGGAGTCGTCTTCAAATTTTAAAGAGCATTCCTGCCCTTTTATTCTAGATCCAACTTCAATTTTGATCTGGTAGAATGGCTTTATCCCTAAATTATATGATGTGTTACTTACGACCTGGTAACAAATCACTTTTTTGGATAAAATCTGTAATAGCAGAGACGAACTAAAACAGCTAAAATAATCCAAATCATAATGGGGATTAGAAACATAATCATTAAGCAGATGCATTGGTGAAAACATAAATACATAAGAATATGATGAGCAGATGACAAGATCCCAACAATTGGGATACTTATTTTTGCAGTATTTATTTCATCAATCACATCATATTACACAAGCTCACATCACACCACCACTTAAAAAATCCAAGAACACACACCTTCAAGTTCAGATAATTTATTTTAATTACTAACAGTACCAACGATGGGATATTTAGCCTCGAATTTCTTCTCCCAGTCATTGAGGACACCCATTTCCTTGTCTGTGAGGCCATCGAGGGAGGCAATCACGTCTTCCTCGTTTTTGCTCATTTTGGCAAGGGCCCGGCTAGCATCCTTGCCGGCAAACATGCCGTATGGCCCTCCGGGGCCGTAGAAAGACTTGCCGGAAGTCATGTCGAATATACGACCCTTTACTGCTATATAAATGGGCTTCGATGGGTCGCTGCCATCGTACTGTTTCAGCTGTTGTAGTGTGAGCTCCATTGACGGTTTTGACGAATTTCGTTTGATAAACGATTGAGTCGAGAATTCCGATTATAGCCTCTGTGATTGATTGATTCTTTGTAAGTGCAGTGTTAGGAGATAAGGATGTGGAAATGTGGTCACAAGAGCATGTTTCGCTTAGCTTAGAAGAAGAAAAGTTAAAAAGTACTTTTCAGAAAGCAACTTCTGAAAAGCTCAATTGGCACTGAGAAGTAATTTTTAATAACTGAGAGTTCTTATTAGGGAGGGTTGATTATATGAATGGTCACTGAACTTTCCTTATGTTACTATTTAGTCATTGAACTTAAAAATATAATTTAATGGTCATTGAACTTCGTCAATGTTATTACTTCATAATCGAACTTTAAAATATATCTCAATGGTCACCGAACTTTGCACCGTATTATACATCCATCATTCAAATGGAAAAATCTGTTAAATCCAACAAATGACGTCAACTTGAGTGACGGATGGGTAACACGGTGCAAAGTTCAATAACCATTGAGTTATTTTTTTAAGTTCAGTGACTAAATAGTAACATAGGGCAAAGTTCAATGGCCATTAAGATATATTTTTAAATTGATTTATTAAGCCTTTCTTTGAGTCTCATTCTTTCAAAAAAAAAAATATATATATATATATATACATTCTTAAACAGTGATTTGATACCATTCAACCACACATTTTTCAATAAAATAATATTACACGCAAATTCAAAACTTCTCTTTATTTTTTAACTACACATTTTCCATCAATATATTGTTCAAAAATTCATTTTATTCCTCAAAATGGGGATCAAACAAGGGCTAAACTTTTTAAATTGACCTTTATGAAAGAAGAAATTAAAGAAAATGAAGGGAAAAAGAGGAAACAGAAAATCAGAGACCTATAAATTAAATAAAAATAGAATTGTTGCTAATATTCATCCATCGCGGTGAAAAAGTACGTTTGATATTCATCCATCATCATATCTCAAACTTCGCATAAATAGATTGAAAGAGAAATAGTTGGAACACTAAAAGAAATTGACAAAGAAAAATTAAATAAAAGTACAAAAATATTTGAATAATGTCAATGTAACTGAGGTCGATTTAATTTTTCAACTATGTTACTACTTAGTCACTGAACTTAAAAATGTAACTCAATGGTCATTGAATTTCGTCAAGTGTTATTACTTCATAACCGAACATTAAAATGTATCTCAATGGTCATCGAATTTTGCACCGTGTTACCCATCGGTCATTAAAGTTGACCCCCTTTTTTTCATTTGAGTGGCGGATGGGTAATACGGTGCAAAGTTCGATGACCATTGAGATACATTTTAAAGTTCGATTATGAAATAGTAATATTTGACGAAGTTCAGTGACTAAGTAGTAACATAGGACAAAGTTTAGTGACCATTCATATAATTAACCCTATTAGGGATGCTACATTGACATTTGACACCACAATTTCTTAGGTGCTATACTTTAATTGCATAAAAAAGTTTTAATCTTTACTTATTGTAGAAGTATATCCTTGATTTTCTTCATCGAATTTTTATTTTCAAATTTTGATTAATTAGGATATTTTATCATTCATAGTGTTGCCGTCCATTATGAGGCAATAGGGTTGGTTTGTTTTCATTTCTTATCCCAATCAGAATGCATTTTTGGACTGTTAAGCTGGGAATTTTTGACATGTTCTCTCTGTGTGAATCCAACCGTTGACAAATAAACGGTCCAAAAATGAATTATTGTGTACAAATAATTGGAAACAAACACATGCTTAGTTGTCCCTAGCGTCTTTAAATAAGCAAACTTTATTTTAAATTTTTTAAATTATGCTAACGGAATTTTATTTATTTATTTATTATTATTTTTTTAACAAAATTGTCATCAAGCACATTGTATGCTGCTTAATGGAAGAGTAAAAATAAAAATGTGATTAAAAAGAGTAGAAAATACAAGTGTGAAAATAATAAAAGCAAAGAAACAACTAATGCAATTAAAATGTAATGCATTCATTAAAGACGGTGATAAACCTTCTGCTAATCAAGTTAAAATCCATAATAAATAAGAAAAGGAAAGTTAAAATATTATTACGATATATTTAAATAGATTAAATCTTAAGATAGTATAAAATGGTTGCGTCAAATGGAGGGTTTATATCTCAATTGTCACTAAACTTCTTTAAATATTCAACTTTGAATTGTTATTAAACTTTCTCAAGTATTTTTCAATTGTCGAAAGTTATCAGAGTTATCACTGAACTTATCAAAATGTAATTCTCATTTGTCACTCTATTAGTCGTTATTTTAAAAGCTAACTAATTAGATAACATGATAGATTGAATGACGGATGTGGTGACATTTTGTTACGTTTATCAAATTCATTAACTTTTATAATGATGAGTGACAAAGTTACATATAGGATAACATTTTAGAAAGTTTGAAGTTCAATTGTAAATTAGTGATATCAACTCTCTCGTACATATCAATTGTTATGGGCATCACATTAATTGTTATGTATGCATTATTAGGTTTTAAGCCTCTTAGTGTAATTACTCTGCGCCACAAACAGTCCCTAAGTTAGAAGTTGAGTTGTATGTGATTGCAAGTCCTCTTTCAGGCAACACGACAGAGAGAATTACAATCACAAGATAGAACCGATCTAAGTATATTGATAATCACGCCGATAATGTAAACAATAAGAACATATATTGATAGGAACCCTGTCATAGAATAAAGAGAATTTTACTCTATTACATCATATTCGGTAAAGTGAACTAAACAGTACTCTCTACAATATCAAGAAGGTAAATGTACAACCCAAAAGGCCCTCGACCCCACCTTCAACTCAGCACTCCATAGCATTGATGCATAAATAAATTTAAAAAAAATAATAATAAGGGAAGGCGAAACTCAAACTAAAGCAATCCAAAAAACTGTCCAATCATATAAAGTAATTAGCGTCCAACATGTCCTGAAAGTCTTGCATGTATACTTGTCTATCACACACAATCACTACTACAAATCGAAAATAAAGAAATGCAGCTTTGGGAATGAATTCTACAGACAACTTGCATTTTTATCAAGGTGGCTTATTTCCCAAATGGATTTTGTTACTTGTATATAAAAATTGTACATAAAAGATTACATAAAATGATGTGGAGGGAAAAGATTGAATGAAAAAGTTGATTGTATTTTAAATTGGCAAATGATAAAATGACATGTGACATTTTGTAACTCATTATGTAAAGTTTGATGTACATGTAACAAGGTCCTTCCCAAATTATAATAGGAAATGCTGTCGAGAAGAATTAAATAGAAGAATGAAAGAACCTTTTTGGATTCCGGAGCTATAAATTCAATCAAAGAACTTGGAAGTGAAAATTGAGTCGAAGATATTTTTGTTCAAGTTGTACAATACTGGTGTAAAACGGTTTTCTGCCTTACTAATTCGTGAAGATCATGGACAATCTTAAATACGGCGTCTGGCCTTGCAAGCCTCAATGTGTTTTGTGACATGGCTATGAGTTTGTCTTGCTTTGGACCAAACCACTGAGAGACTATGTTGGCTATCTCTTGTGGGGACCTGGAGAATTTCCCACATCCATTTTCGACAACATATGGCACATTCCCAGCTTCCTGCCGCAAACAAGAATTTAAGTTACCATTCTATACCATGTTCAAAAGGGCACACCGATCTATGATGAACATAGAATACACAAAGTACGTGTTTGGAACTAGACAGTACAATCAGGAAACTGGATTTTAAAAATAAGAAAACCGATCTAAACATATAAACACAATTACTACAAGTGGATTTTTTGGGCAAAATAGAGATATAGCAGAGAATACTGTGGCTACCTGCCCGGCAATGTAACCATTTAGAATTATAGGAAGTCCTCGAATCATAGCTTCCGCAATAGTTCCTGGTCCAGCCTGCAAAAATACCATTTATCAAATGGGTGATAATGTGTTCTCTTTTTATTTTTATTTTTTTATTAAGCTTGATTGGGAGAAAGGTTGGAACTAGAAATTTGAGTTACTGACAAGAGCCATGTACCTTGGTAATGATGCAATCGCAAGCACCCATGCACTCTTCCATTTTAGTGACGAACCCCCTGACCTAAAAATGCATAGAACTTTTTCTGTAAGTCGTGGAAATACATACTAAGGTTCTATCTGGTCTTGGACGTTAGTATGGAATATGGGATGAGAGCAAAAATTAAAGAAAAATGATATTCCACACCTTTACTTTTCTACGACGACAATGAACTAAGCCTTGTTTCCAATAAATTTGGAATCCAATATATCTATATCAATTTACTTCATGTTCCATCATCTTGTTCTATAACTCGAACCTCTTGAATAGTTCACTTCCATTTCTTAATAGTCTCGTCAACCCCTACCGACATATATTATGTGGTTAAGCTCTTACAAGAAATTACCACACAATCCTTGCACAACGAACTATCTACATTCCGAGAAGGATGAAATTTGTTTGACTAAACTTTTGCTCATTCTAAAAGTAAAAGTGATCTTTCTTTTGAAGCAAATTTGAACTAGTACTAAATCATAAGTGTTGAAGATACCGGAAGATTATTGGAGATTTGATGGATTATTTGTTTCCTTATGTGTCAATTTATTATAGTCAACATAATATTCTTTCCTTAGTTGTAGATATAGGATATATTTACTATTTTGGTATGTATCGTACTCCTATATAAGAATTCTACACGGCTGGAATAAGACAACAACAGTTTTCTCTCTTTTATGGTCTCTCCATTCTACTTCTTGCCCGGTTTCATGGTATCAGAGCCTAGGGTTCTTGAGTAGGTAGGATGAAAAAATTGACCATGAAAGGGGCACGCAGAGATGATGAATCCAGGTCCACTACAACAACCTCTGAACCCAACTCTACAAGTGCACGCATGACCTCAAATTACTTTCCCAGGGCTGAAAATACTTCCCTTCAACTCACTACCACCCGACTGAACAGCAATAACTATCTGCAATGGCCTCGAACTGCTCTCATGGTGATTCGTGGTCGTGGACGCCTTGGATACGTGACTGGAACTACACCAAAACCGAATGAAGATGATCCTGCATATGCAACCTGGGATGCTCAGAATTCCATGGTAATGGCTTGGATAGTTAATTCAATGGAAGAGGATATTAGGGAATCTTATCTATATTATTCAACGGC